GATGGATAGGTGGATGGATGGGTGGGTGGGTGGATGGGTGGATAGATGGATGGGTGGATGGATGAGTGGGTGGATAGGTGGATGGATGGATAGGTGGATGGATGGGTGGGTGGGTGGACGGATGGATGGGTAGGTGGATGGATGGGTAGGTGGATGGATGGGTGGATGGGTGGATAGATGGATGGGTGGATGGATGGGTGGATGCATGAGTGGATGGGTGGATGGGTGAGTGGGTGGGTGGATAGATGGATGGGTGGATGGATGGGAGAATGGGTAGGTGGATGGGTGGGTGGATGGGTAGGTGGATGGATGGATGGATGGATGGATGGGTAGATGGTTGGGTGGATAGATGGATGGGTGGGTGGATGAATGGATGGATGAATGGAGTGTACTCCTCACATCCATCCTTCTCAGATATTTCTCTGACAATTCTGAGACATTCTTCCTATACTTATTATACTTTCCTAACACTATTTCTGTCCTCCAGTTATAACTCAGCCCACTCTCCTTGGATACCTGTCACATACCTTCCTATATTTCTTCACGTACTTTTCCAACACACATCCATCCTCATTTCACGCGTATCCTATTATAATCCTTCACTCCTCACATATGCCTCCTAAACACATTGTACACGCACGCTGCTCTTGTGCAAACTGTGCACACCTTGTACATGCTCACCATACATTCCACATTGCAAACAATGAAAAGCATATTGCACACCTCACATCTCCCCTTGCACACTCATCCCAAGTTCCTTAGACATCACCCCTTCACCCTTACCAGCATTAACCCATCCTGCTCTCTGCACACATATGGCCTTCTATGCTCTGTTCCCACACTCCTTACCTGCCCCTCTCACATTGTTTACATGTTCACTGCACACTCCTTACCCACTGAAGTTGAGTCCTTAAAACTCAGTGCTGGGCTGGGGATGTAGCTCAGTGGTGCAGCCCACTGCCTCTCAAGCACAAGGACCTGAGTTCAATCCCCTGTACCAAAAAAAAAAAAAAAAAAAAACAACTCGTTGCTGATTTCTTGTGTCTAGAACTCCTTGGATTCTCCTCATTCCTCATGTGCCCCACACTCCTCACCACCCACCCCACCCCATGCTGCACACTCACCATGGCCTTTGCACAAATTGTCTCACTTGCATTATTCACCTTATGAAAAGCTTTCTGTGCTTGTTGAACACACCTCAGAGATAGTCCTTAGTCCTTTGTCCACCACACTCACTCTCCTTGCACATTCGTTGCACAGGCCTCACATCCTACACTGCAGGGATTCTCTCCCCTACTTACCTGTTTTTCCATACTTGGGTCCACCCTCCCTGCACAATTCACACACACACACACACACACACACACACACACACACACCCCTATGCTACTTCAGGTTTACTCACACTCATCCTGTGTTCTTCCATCCTTCCTTGCACATTCCTGACGCATCTGTCTTCCCATTCCACTCACTGCACTCATCACGCACTCCTCAAATATCTGTCTCACAAGTTTCCCACTCTTTCTGCTTTAACTCATATCACACCAATTGCATGCCTTGCCGTTCCTCGGTTAGGTGAAATGCCTGTCACACACCTCACCCAGTATACCCACATCTTTTGCCTCCCTCGCATATCGCTCCCTGGGTCTCAGGGAACCGGATCCAAGACCTAGCCATGACCTGTCCCCCATACCCCGACAGTGAGCGAGCCCCCTGCTCCTGCCTTCTCGTGGCCCTGGTGGTATGTACTGCTGGGAGCAGTTGTGGCCGCTGCCTGTGTCCTCATCTTGGCCCTGTTCCTTGTCCACCGGAGGAAGAAGGAGACCCGCTATGGGTGAGTTAGAATGACATGGAGTGGCATCTGTGGACTGGGAGGCAGAGGCAGGAGGCAGGGAGACCAGTGAGGAGGGAGAGGTGGCCAAGAATCATGAAAAAGGCAGCCATTGGCAATCCTAGGCACATGCAGCAGATGTTGGAGGAGAGGACCAGCAGGGCTTGGGTCCAGGAGGGCACCTGTGTTCCCCACTGGCAGGAAGAGGGGGTTCCACATGGTTCTGCCCTGCTCTCATGTTCTTCGTTCCCCCAGGGAGGTGTTTGAACCAACAGTGGAAAGAGGTGAACTGGTAGTCAGGTACCACGTCCGCAAGTCCTACAGTCGCCGGACCACCGAAGCCACTTGTAAGTGAGCCCTGTGCCTCCCTGCACTGGTCTGGGGCCAAAGAGGAAAGAAAATTAGACCTGCTAGGCCTCTGCAGATGCATGAGACAAAAGTTTCTGAAAGCCTTGGGACACTAGAATTGATGAACCACTGGCCCCAGAAACAGTGAAATCATGGAACAACACAGAGCTTTAGCTTAGCCACAGCAAGTTTTAGAAACACTGAACTTCAGAGCCATAAGACCTTGTAACAAAGCGATGATGATGATGATGATGATGATGATGATGTTGAGATAATGATCTGTGGTGGTGGTGATATAGGACAATAAGAGTAGGTGATAGCGGGGTGTGGTGGGGCACACCTATAATCTCTGCATTTGGGAGGCTGAGGCAGGAAGATCACCACAGGTTCAAGGCCAGCCTGGGTTGCACAATGAGTTCAAGGCCAGCCTAAAATACATACCAAGACCCTGTCTCAAAAAAAAGAAAAGAGTAGATGATGATGTTGGTGATGGTATGTTAGGCAACCCCGGCTCCTCCTATCTCGTTCGATCCTCACTACCATCCGAGGACACAGTTTCATTTTTTTTGTTTTTGTTTTTTTACTATTGTTGTTTGTATTTTCATGAGTCCTTGTCATCACTTTCACTTCAAAGAGGAAGACACTGTGCACTGTGGCATAGCGTACTCATGCAACTTTCTGAAGGCCACACAGCCTGTAGGTTGGATAGCTGGGATTTGAACCCAAGCAGTTGCCCTGAAGTCTATAGCGTAATGGAATGTTAGAGAGAGGATCAATCTTGGCTTGAAAAATTATACGCTCAGTATAAGAGACTTGTCGTTTTGAAAATCCAATCTTAGAGCGATAGACTGAGCATTGGAGAGTCATGGCGGGTCACAGATAAAGAGGGACCTCAGGGGCCACTCAGTCCCATTTCCTCATCTCTCAAATTAGGCAAACTGAAATCCAGAAAGAAAAGGGGTAGAGCTAGTCTTGATCTAGCACACATCAAGAAGGCTTCCAGGGCCTCAGGAGAGTTTTGGGACAGGCCTGGGAAAGACATTTCCTTCAGAGGAGAAGGAAGAAACAGCAAGAAGGTCACAGTGCTTTGATGAAATAATATACAGTCACAGTTCCCGAAGTGTGAGCCTGATCCCCTGGGGTCCCTAAGACCTTAACAGGGGGCCCATGGCGTCAAAACTATTTTTGTAATAATACCAAGACCTTATGTGCCCTTCTGCACTCTCCTTCTCTCACGAGCTTCCAAGGGTGTTTTCCGGAGGCTCCCTGACCTGCAATGATATGAAAAGCTGATGGATAGAACATGTGCTTGTGTATTCCAGTGTTTTAAAAATCTCTTTGTTTTGACTGGAAATACAGAACAAGTCTAGATGTATCTGTATCTACCTAAACCCCACATTTAAAAACACTTGGTAGTCTTGAATAATTCCTGCAACGGAAAGGGGTCAACAAGTTTGAGAACTGACACTACGCACTCTTGGAAATGAATACATTGCAACTGTACATCATATATCCCAATTATACGACAAGCGTCTTATAGACACACTGCTGAGTAGGGAAGAGCCAGGCATAAGAGAAAGCATGCTCTGTGGTTCTATTTCTATAAGATTCAAAGCAGAAAACTAACCTATTGGAAGAGAGGTGAAGACAGTAGCTTTCCCTCCTAGGCCGTGTGTGGCTATTGACTTAGATGCTAGCTTTACAATGGATTTCTGGAAATCCGCTGAGCTGCTCACCAGTTGTGCAGGTTACACTTCAGTAAGAAGAAGTAATTTTGTATATCCGTGTAATATTTTTATGTTTCATACATTTTGGTTGAATGTAGTGTCTGCTATGCTGCCTTTTATATGAGGACTTGTTTATTTCATAACTGACCCATAATGATTGCACATATTTATGGAGTACAGGGGAAACAATTAGATACATGTATACAATGTATAGTAATCAAATCAAGGTAATTAGCATTTCCACCTCCTTAAACATTTCAAACCCCTCTCTCAAAGAAACATTTTTAACAACTAGTACAGCAGGACACTGACCAATCAAGGTGCACACAGGAGTAAGACCGCGGCCAGGCTTGAACCCTGTAGTTACTGTGGGGGAAGATTCAGGAGTCCAGAGGAGGAGCTAGGGATGGGGAGCTAGGATGTTCAGGGCAGTAGCTCATTTTGAACCAATGCAGTAGTTCAGTGTTTCAACAATGGGTATTTCCCTGTCGCTGAGTGTCACCTGAATGTCAGCCCTGAGCCATGACTCTGTGCACACCCCCTACAGTGAACAGCCTGGGCATCAGCGAAGAGCTGAAGGAAAAGCTGCGGGATGTGATGGTGGACCGGCACAAGGTGGCCCTGGGGAAGACACTGGGAGAAGGTGAGTTCTCCAGCAAACACACATATCCTCCGGAATGCTGAGGTCCTTCACTTTCCCATCCTTACCCAACTACAGAATTACAGTCAGGATGCCCACTCCCCCCAAGTCAGTGTCTCCCTCCTGCCCCCACAGGAGAGTTTGGAGCTGTGATGGAGGGCCAGCTGAACCAGGACGATTCCATCCTCAAGGTCGCCGTGAAGACAATGAAGAGTGAGTCTGTGCACGTTTGCATACACATGTAGGATCCGTTTCGCTAACCCCCAGCTCCTTCCCTGTGCCCCAGAGAGACAGGTGAGCAGAAAGTTAGTGGCAAATTGGCCATAGTACAGAATGCCAGCGTTTCCAGCTGGGAAATAGAGCCCATGCCAGATACTTCAGTGGAAGGAATTGAATATGGGGACATTAGTGCCACTGTGGGAAAAAAGACTGAAGGAACAACCAGGACAGTGTGAACTTGGAGGTTAGCAGCAGTAGGAAGTCCTTGCCACCCTTAGGGAAGAGGAAGGAAGTGGAGTTACCATGGCTAGGGACACTTGGCGGAAGTCAGGAACAGAGAGTTAGGGGCTCCTTTTGGGAGCAGAGGACATTCATTCATGCCAAGATGACGACAGAAGCAGAAAGGGGGTGAAATACACTGGTTTCTCTTCTCCTCCTTCCCAACTGCCAGTCTCTCATCTTGCCTACCACTGGCAAACTACCACTGGCAAACTCCAAAAGGAAACCACTAGGGAAGAGGAGACTGGGAAATGTAGTTTTCAAGAGCCAACCCCTTGAAATATGTAACAGAGCAAGGGTAGGTCCAAAATGAGGCACATCTGGCTTCATTCCCTGGCTATGGGAGCTCAAGCAAGTGACTCTCCCTCCCCGAGCCTTCCTTCCCTCATCTGGAAAAAGTGTTCCTAATGTCCCTACCTCCTAGGACTCTTGCGAGGCAAGGCACTTCATGCTGGAGATGAAGCTAATGTGAACTACTGCTACATTATGTATATTATCACAGTGGTTGGGAGCCACTCCAGAGTCACAAAGCACAGAAAGGAACAAGTCCTTTTGATACAGGGAAGTAGAAGAGTAAGAGGTTCAGGCTGAGGCTGGAGGTGAGAGATGTGATCCTTTCTGGATTACATGGCTGGTCTTAGCCAGTCCATGGTGGTGCAGACCTTTAATCCCAGCATTCTGGGAGGCTGAGGCAGGAGGATGGCAAGTTCAAGACCAACCAAGCAACTTAGCTACTAGGTAACACCCTGCCCAACATGAAGAAAATAAAAATAACCTTGGGCTATGGAGTCATTCAGCACCTCTTGTGTTCTGAGTTATGTTCTCAGCCCAGGTTTTAAGGCCAGCCATATGACCCTGAGCAGGTCACTTTGACTCTTTGAACCAGTGTCCTGAGCTATAAAGCAGTCAGCATGATAGTAAGCACATGGTCCCCAGAGTCAAATGGCCTGATTTCAACTCTGCCTACTCATCTCTGAGCGTGTGTGCCCTCAAGTAGGTTCTTTGAATTTTTTTTTTTTTTTTTTTTTTTTTAGTACTGGGGATCAAACTCAGGATCTTGCACTTGCGAGGCAGGAGGCAGCACCACTGAGCTAAATCCCAAGCCCTTTCCTTGACTCTTTTGCACCTTGGTTTCCTCATTTTTTAATAAAGGGCTCATAGCCAGGATGGTTGTGCATGTCTATAATCCCAGTGCTTAAGAGGCTGAGGGAAGAGGATCACCATGAGTTCGAGGTCAGCCTAATCTACATAGTGAGTTCAAGGCCAGCCTGAATTGCATAGTGAGACCCTGTCTCAAAAAGGGCCGGGGATTTAGCTCAGTGGTTCTGCTGCCTGCCTCACAAGCTCAAGGACCCAAATTCAATACCTGGTACCCTCCCCGAACAAACTATAAATAAATAAATGGGCTCATAATTGAAGCACCTTACTTAGATGATTAAATGCGTTAATATAAGTAAAGCTCTAGAGTATAGCAGTTGGTACTTACTAATTTTTTTGTTTGTTTTTTCAGTACTAGGGATTGAATTTGGGGGCTTTGCACTGAGTTTTCAATTTCGAGACAGGGTCCCACTAAGTTGTGCTTTAGCCTCCCAGAGTGCTGGGAGTGTGCACCACAGTGGCCAGCTTACCAATCATGTTTAACGATGATGACCATGGCAGAGAGGAAGAGGAGAAGGAAAAGCATCCTCCCTCCCCTCCCTTCCTCTTCGCCTGCCTTCCTCTTTGTCCCAAGTTGCCATCTGCACGAGATCAGAGCTGGAAGACTTCCTGAGCGAAGCTGTCTGCATGAAAGAATTCGACCACCCCAACGTCATGAGACTCATCGGTGAGAGAGGAACAGATCCCCTCGGGGCCACACCAGAGGGAAGACCCCTTCTTGTAGCACTGGGAAGATCAAACATTCAGGCTTCTTGCTCCCCTCTTCTTCAAGATCAGCAAGTTCCCCCTCCTCTTCTCCCTCAACTTGGAATGTGACCTCTGACCATTCCCAGAAATAGCTGAGGTCCCCAGGAGGGCTCCGGAAACATCCCTGGGAAGTCTGCTAGAAACAGCTTCTCTTCTCGAAGCTCTGCCCTTGACACCCACCCCCGACTATGTGAAAGCCAAGTTTGAAAGGGAAGCCAGAGGAGAGGCTAAGAATGGCCAGAAGGGGGCTTGGGGCTTGGCTTCCCCCTCTGCTCAGCTGGGTGTGACATGGCTGCCTGGGGTTTCAGGTGTCTGCTTCCAGGGTTCTGAAAGAGAGGGGTTCCCGGCACCAGTGGTCATCTTACCGTTCATGAAGCATGGAGACCTACACAGTTTCCTCCTCTACTCCCGGCTCGGGGACCAGCCAGTGGTGAGGCGCATTTCATCATAGGTCCCCAAGTACTGAATGAGCATATATCAGGTACCCTGCACTACTCAGCCTCCTGGAAGATCCTGGTGACCCTGAGCTTGTTCTCAGGGAGCCTGTCTTCCAGCGGAGGAGCCAGGCGATAAACAAGCTGACAAATACATCAACAAGGTCATTTAAGTGCTGGGAAGGAAATGTAGGATGAGTGATAAGGAGGTGGAGGAGTTGGTCTGGGTGAACAGGGAGGGGAGGTGACCCTGAAGGAGGAGCCGGCTGGGGGATGTGGGAGCCCAGACGGGACACAAGCCCAGCTAAAGTCACAGCACATGCAAAGGCTCAGAAGTGGGGACAAGGGTGGCTGTTTGAAGACCAGAAAGGAGGCCCCTGGCTGGAATGTATGTCAAGGGCAAGAGCAGTAGGAGATCAATCAGAGAGAAAGGCAAGAGTAGGTTATAGAAGGCCTTATAGGCTATGGGAAGGAGTTGGATTTAATTCTCAGTATCACAGGAAATCACTGCAGGCAGAGCTAGACACGCACGGGAAGGGAAAGGAGAAAGAGGAGGGATGGACTTTGGGAATTCTGTTGACCTTTGCTCCTCCCTGCCTCGGTCCCCAGTTCCTGCCCACTCAGATGCTGGTAAAGTTCATGACAGACATCGCCAGTGGCATGGAGTACCTGAGTACTAAGAGATTCATACACCGGGACCTGGCTGCCAGGAACTGCATGTGAGTGCCCAGCCTTTTGCGAATCTCTCCCTCCTTCCTCTCCTTCCCAGGGTGATTAGGAAGCTGGACCCCTAATGGGAGGTCAGAGGTCAGAGCTGGGGTAGAAAGGTCAGCAAGGCAGTCTGGGAAGGCTTTCTGGAACGGGGGCCCTCCTGCACTGAGATCTTGAAGCGGTATTTGGATGTGGAGGGAGAAGAGATGGGGTGAGGCTTATCTCAGTGCACATTAAGAGGTGAGCAGAGGGGCAAAGGTGACTGACAGGGTGTAACACGTGAGCCTCACCTCGGCCTGCTCCATGCTAAGTGCCTTGCCCCACTGAGACGGGGGAGTGGAGCCACAGTTTTAGATATTAATCCTGTAGTGCGCACGCACACCTGTAATCCCAGCACTCTGGGAGGCTGAGGCAGGAGGACAGCAAGTTGAGCCCAGCCTGGGTAACTTAAGTGACTTAGTGAGACCCTGTCTCAAAATTTAAAAAGGTTTGGGGATGTGGCTCAGTGCAAAGGTCGTAGGTTCAATTCCAAGTACAGGAAAAAAAAAAAATCAGTCTCGTAACCATGTCAAACTCATAGAAACCACAGCTGGAGAATCAGAGAATCTTCTACAACAGCACCGGTGTTTGCAACTCTCAACAATGTAGAAATGGAAATTTCTTTTCCCCCCAACTTTTTATTTTGAGAGATTCCAATGCTAAAGAAGTTGAGAGAGTCATACAGTGAGCACCCTTGTTGAAATTTTGCCACATTTCTCTTCTACCTTCCTCTCTCCCCTCAGCCATTTGCAAGTAAGTTACTGGAATTGTGACACTTCATCCCAAAATCTTTGTTTGTTTTTTGTTTGCTTGTTTTGAAAAAATAAAAATGTATCAAGGCTTTATTTTTAACTAACAGCAAATAGAAATCGTTCAGTGAGATAATGGCAATGCGACAGTGTTATAATTAAGCTCAAGAAAGGTTTGTGGAGTACACAGAAGATCAAGGTCTCCAAGTTGCCTCTTTTCAGGTCTTCTAGTTTATCTGGCTCCTTAAATGGTAAGGGGGAAAGCCCTTATCTGGTGCGAAAGATTTCCAAAATGAAGTTGTAGGTTCTCTTTCCTTTACAAAATTCCTGTCACATTAGCTGTTGAAACAGAGCCTTCTGTTTGCTTAGGTGTCTTTTGGTTATTTCACATTAATATCATCACCAGAACTCTATAATTCCACAACTGGGATCTTACAAAGTGGGAGAGATTGCAGTTAAATCTGCTGTTGCTTTACATGTGAAAACAGTTGACAAGCCAGAGTACATTGGAATTGCTGAGGCATTTCCCTGCTGTTGTTTGAGATTATCCTTTCTCTCTCTTCTTGATAGATGCACAGACAGCTTGATTTAAAATTCTACAGGAACCCATCTGATTTCAGGAGTAACCAATTAAGGGTCCAATGAATGGTCACTTTACCCCTAAGTCTTTTTTTTTAATTAAATAATTGAATTTGTTGGTACGTTTTAGGGATACAGTACAGTTACATTCATTGTTGGGCTCTTTTACCTCTACATGACAGGTCTTGGTTCTCATTTTTTCCCCTTTTCCCTGCCCTCCCTTTACCCCCTCCTCCCCTCCCCATTTACAAACACTTTATATCCATCTTTTCATTTTCTCACATTTTTTTTCTTTTCCCTTATTACCCTTCCCTACCCATCCCACCTTCCCTACACCTTTAGCCCCTTGCTTCCCATTTCACAATGTCAGTTATCTCATTAGGATCTTATGTACCATTACAGTTTATTCACACCAGAGAAACTATTCAGTATTTACACATGTGTGACTTGTTTATTTCACTTAGGAGTATGTCCTCAATATGTATCCATTTTCCTATGAATGAATCTAATTTCTCATTCTTTATGGCTGAGTAATATTCCATTTTATAGAAAAACCACATCTTCTTTATGCAATCCCCAACTGATGGGCAAATGGGCTGTTTCCAAGTTTTAGCTATTACAAACTGTGCCGCTATAAACATAGGTGCGCATACATTTCACCCCTAAATCTTAAGCAGGCAGCTCTTAAGAATAAGGACCTTCTCCTACTTTGTCACAATTCCTTTATCACACCTAGGAAGATTAGTAATGATTGTGTAACATAATCCAATCCATACTCAAATTCTTCCCGTTGTCCTCTAAATTATCTTTTATAGCTAAATTTTCCCCTGAACCAAGATCTAATGAAGATTTCCAAATTGAACTCAGTCATCATACCCCTTCCTGTCTATTTTAATCTAGAGTAGCATACCCATACCCATACCGCTTTTTTGGGGGGGGTACTGGGAGTTGAACTCAGGACCTTGAGCCACTGAGCTAAATCCCCCACCTGCACCTTTTATATTTATATAGCATACTCTTTTGGATGAGCCAAGGCTAGTAGTCCTGTAGAAAGTCTTACATTTAAGGGCTGGGGATTTAGCTCAGCGGTTCAGTGGCCTGCCTTGCAAGCGCAAGGACCCGAGTTCAATCCCCGGTACCAAAAAAAAGAAAGTCTTACATTTAAGATGTAATTCCTGGGTTGGGAATGTAGCTCAGTGGTTCTGCCACCTGCCTCAAAAGCACAGGGACCTGACCTTGATCCACAGTACCAAAAAAAAAAGATGTATTTCCTAATCTTGGTTCAGGATACATGGGTATGTTTGTGCAAAATCAAATTCCCTTATGATCTGTGCACATTAATATATACATATAGTATATGTAAATATGCATAGCATATGTAGTACACATAAAGTGTGTGTGTGTGTGTATATATATATATGTATAAGAAATAAATATATGCAATAATTGTATAATGTTCAAATTTAGCATAAGACTCATAAAAAATTTTTTAGTTCCCATTATATATATATATGTCATATAGTTCAAGAAAACTTTTTACAAATCAGAAAATTAAGCCCAACGAGCCTAGGAATGACCTTAGAATCTGCCAAAAGCCACAGCTGGGAAGGCTATTAGAACGCCCCTTGTCCCACCCACATTTTACAGAGGGAACAAGAAGTTAAGCAGTTCCTTCTGGGACTGGGCAAAGGTGCAAGGAATAGATTCCCCCCCGCCAAGGCAGGACAGTGAGGGCAGGAGGTGGAATTGAGTCTGAGAGCCGACGCAGGCTTCCTGGGAGAGGCTGCTAATGCCTGGATCTTGTTTCTCCCCCAATATGGGCAGGCTGAATGAGAACATGTCTGTATGTGTGGCAGACTTTGGGCTGTCCAAGAAGATCTACAATGGGGACTACTACCGCCAGGGTCGCATCGCCAAGATGCCAGTCAAGTGGATCGCCATTGAGAGTCTAGCTGACCGCGTCTACACCAGCAAGAGTGATGTGGTACGTGCACTTCCACCAAGAACAGGCAGCTCTGGGGGTGGGAGGCGGCCTGACTCACACCGTTCCCAGGCGGCTGCATGTGCAGAGCGCCCAGGAATACGTGGGGTTCTCTGAGGACAAACCTGTGTGGTCTGGGCATGTCTGGAGACATGGTGGGCATCTGTGAGCAGTGGTGTGTATATGCGGGGGATGTGTACAGACTCATGTGCACGGTGCAGCGTGAACAGACCGGGTTAGGAGACGCAGTAGTGACCATGCACGCATGTGCCCACACTTGTACATTGTATGCAGCCGGCATGGAGGGGAACACAGGAGATCATGTGTCCATGAAGGGTGGGAACGTATTCACAGATGCTCGCTTCTATACAACCACAAAGGTCACCCATATGTGGGTCTACCTGGGCCAAACTATTTCTGTGAACACCTGTGATGTACCCACAGGGATGGCTGAGCACACACGCACCAGAGTGTGTGGTGGAGGTCTTCGTGTAGGAGAGGCCCTAATTCTCCTCCTCTGTTCCTCACAGTGGTCCTTCGGGGTGACGATGTGGGAGATAGCCACACGGGGCCAAACGCCATACCCTGGAGTGGAGAACAGTGAGATTTATGACTACCTGCGCCAGGGGAACCGCCTGAAGCAGCCCATAGACTGTCTGGATGGCTTGTGAGGACCTTTCAAACCTGCCTCCCTACCCCAGAGTCCACCTGCGAAGTTCTGAGCACCCACACATGGCCTCACATCTCCAGGATGCTGCAGGGAATCCCTTAGAATGTTCAGCAGCCCTCTCGCCCCTTCACCAGTGCTCCCAGCAGGACCATGGATGGCAGCCCACAGGGTGCAATTAGCTAAGGAAGGCCTATCCTGCTTTGTCTTATGTGGGATGCAGGCTAGATCTGTCCCCTCCCTCCTTGGGCAGGTACCTACAGGCAGTGAACAACTGTACAACCTTCCCTGGTGGTCCTGCCTATGGGGCCCCCAGTCTGGGAGACTTCTAATTCATTCCACACCCCTGATCACCCCGCACGTCTCTTTGATGCACCTCAACACTCTGGACTCGATGCAAAACCCTCCCATCTGTTCTCCTGATTTTCTCCAGACCCCCGGTCTCCTCTGAGCTATTTGCAGGAATCCTTTAGGTTGAGCTTATCAACCTTTGCTGGATCACAGCTTGCAGAGAAGGGCATGACATTTAGCCAGGCTTTGAGGGTAAAGAGAGGATGTTACTTGGGTCAAGAGGAGACAGCCTGGGGCTTCCGTCTCCCCATGTCCCCTTGGTTACTCCAAGGGCTGAGGGGAGCAGGAATAATAGTCTATATTTCTGGGTTTTGTTTTTGTTGGTGGTGGTGTGTATGTGTGTGTGGGGGGCTGAGGATTGAGCCCAGGGACTTCACAATGAGCTATGGCCCCATCCCTTTTTATTTAATTATTTATTTATTTGTACCGGGGCTTGAACTTGGAATCTTGTGCAAGGCAGGCAGTGGAACCATTGAGCTAAATCCCCAGCCCTTTATTTTTTATTTTGAAACAGGATCTCCCTAGGTCACTAAGTTGTCCAGGCTGGGCTCAAATATGAGATCCTGGGGCTGGAGATTTAGCTCAGTGGTTCCGCCACCTGCCTTGCAAGCACAAGATCCCAAGTTCAATCCCCAGTACCGATAAAACAAAACAAACAAACAAACAAAATGAGATCCTGCTGCCTCAGTCTCCCACAGTGCTGGGATTGCAGATATGTTCCACCATGTCCACCTTTATAGCTGGTATTTTATAGAACTCACTGGAAGACAGGTGTTTTGTTTTTTTTTTTAGGTGCTTTGCATACAACTCATTTGATCTTTACCATAGTCACAGGAATATATAGATGGCATTATCCCCATTTTCCAGATGCCCATAGGGAGGATGAGTTTCTTGACAAAGGTTGCACAGTTACCCTATTAGTTATCTATGCTCCCAAATCTAGAAGTTTAAAACAACAAACATTTATTTTCTCATACAGTTTCAGAAAGCCAGGAGTCTGGAAACCACTTAGTGGGTTAATTCTGGCTCAGAGGTCTCTAATGAGATGACAGTCAGGATGTCAGCTGGGCTGCAGTCACCTGAAGATTTGAGGCTGGGAGATTGCTTTCAAGGTGGCACTCTCACGTGGCTGAGGCCGGAAGCCCCTCACCATGTGGACGCCTCTGTAGCACTGCTTGAGCTTCCCCACAGCATGGCGAACCCAGATAAAGTGGGAGGAGGAAGCTGCAATGGCTTCTTCTATGACCAGGCATGGTGGCACATGCCTGTAATCCCAGCACTGAGGAGACTGACACAGGAGGATTTCAAGTTTGATGCCAGCCTGGGCAACTTAGAGAGACCCTGTCTCAAAAACAAACAAACAAAATAACAAAAAGCAAAAAATCTTTATGGAAGTATCTTAAAGCCTGGCTTTACTTCTAGCTTTGATGCTTTGATGCTAGCATTAGCTCTGGAAGTCACTTTGGGAAGCTCTGCTCTAACCAACCCTTGTTACAGCACCCCTGATTCACAAAGCCCTTCCTAGCTCCCTTCAGAAACTTTGATAATACCTGAATCTCCCAGATGCCTCCAATTGCTGGGGTTCCCTCCAATCCCCAACCTCCATATGTCCTAAAATATCCCCCAGCTTCCAGACTGCTCCCTTCTGACACCCTGCTCAGTCTCCCAACTTCACTATGTCGCTCTAGGTACATCCTGATGTCCCGCTGTTGGGAGTTGAACCCCCGAGACCGGCCAAGTTTTACAGAGCTGCGTGAAGACCTGGAGAATACACTGAAGACCTTGCCCCCTGCCCGGGAGCCTGACGAAATCCTCTATGTGAACATGGATGAGGGCAGAGGTTATCCTGAACCCCCTGGAGCTGCTGGAGGAGCTGACCCCCCAACCCAGCCTGACCCTAAGGATTCCTGTAGCTGTCTCACTGCAGCGGAGGTCCATCCTGCTGGACGCTATGTCCTTTGCCCTTCTACAGCCCCTGCCCCCACTCTGCCTGGAGACAGGGGCTTCCCAGCACCCCCACCAGGGCAGGAGGATGGAGCCTGAGACAACCTTCCACCTGGGACTCCCTCTCAGGATCCAAGCTAGGCACTGCCACGGGGGAAACCTCACCCTCCAACTTTCCCACTCCAGGCCTACCCTTCCCACCTCCATCCCAGACAAAACCTTCCCTTTCTCTTCATCACAGCATCCTCCTCCAAAAAAAGAAGTTGCTGCACCGAGCATGGTGGCACAGACCTTGTAATCCTAGCACTCAAGAGACTGAGGCAGAAGGATCGCTAAGTTCAAGCCCAGTCTGGGTTATATAGCGAGACTCTGTCCCAAAACAAAGACATGATTGGAGTGCAATCGCTAACAGTCCTCCCAGATCTGACATTCAGAAATTCTACATTGTGGGGCAGGATTGTAACTCAGTGGCACCTCACCTACCTGGTAAGCCCAAGGTCCTGAGTTCTTCTCCAGTACCAAAAAAAGAAAAAAACAAAACAAAAAACTAAATTGTAAGGCCTAAACAGTCTATATCAAAAGTTCTAGGTCTCCAAGTTGCTGTGCATCTTTTGTTCTAAGGACCTGAAATTCCAGTCTCTAGTTCTAAAGTGCTGTGTTTCTTTTCTTAAGAAAGTGTCTTACCTATGTTACCCAGCACTAGCCTGGAATTCCTGGGCTAATGTGACCTTCCCACCTCAGCCTCCCAAGTAGCTGGGAATACAGGTGTGCTAAGATTCTTGATAAGGGCCCAAGATTCTAGGTTTAAAGCTAAAAATTCTAGTTCTAGGATTTAAGACTCTGAGTATAGATTTTATTGTTCTAGAGTTCTGAGTTCTTTGAGCATAAGACTCTAGATTCTACAATTCTAAAGATTCTATAATTCTAGACATGGAGGTTCTAAAGCTTACTGTTCTAAAATGTGATGGTCAAAGGCTTTGGGTATAGCTATCCTGGTTGTAAGAAATTGCATCCTACACCTTCAAGTTTTCATTTTCTCAAATTCTAAGATTCTAATGATGGTCAGTTGTAGTTTCTGAGGATCTCTGATCATAGATTCTTTCGTATGAGATCCTGGATCTGAAAGGTCTAAGATTCTACAATCTGCAATTGAAAAGTTGTAAGATTCTAAAGATGGAGATTCCAAGATCTAATGTTCTAAGATGTTTATTCTAAAACTTAATCCAAGAACCTAGATTCTCTAAAATTCTAGGTCATATGTCCCAAGATTCTACATTATTAAGCTCTCAGATTCTAAAGTTGGCCCGTTTAATGTTTGAAGGCACCGTAAGATTCCACTGACCGAAGATTCTGATCCCAAGCAACTAATAAGACTCTCACAACTGTGACTAATTAGACACCAAAATTCTAATCATTTCTAATGTAGGACGCCTAAATTCTATGCTGTACTCTGTGATTCTAGGATTATAATTAAAGTTCCAAGAATATACATTTCTAACATCTTAAGGTTCTAGGCACTATACAGTTAAGATTCACATGTTCTAAATTTCTAAGATTCTACTTGTCTAGAACAGTAGGTACGATTCCAAGTTTCTAACCCAAAAGTTAGGACAGGTTACCTGCTTAGCCATCTGTGCTTCCATCTCCCCTCATATGGCCCCCCCCAAGCCTGTGCAATGCAATTAGGGATGCTTCTTTCCCCCCCGCCAGGGAATGGACCATCTCCCTCCTTTGGGCCATGCTGCCCTCTTGAGCCAGTCCCTCACCCTCCCTGTACAGAATGTGGACTCTGGTGCCTCTAGAGGGGCTCCGGTCACATAAAATTTTGTCAATCACTATTCTATCTCCTCTTGTCTCTGTTTAGCCACATCGTGGCTCCTCTCCCTGGCAACTTGGTTTCCTTTTAGTAAAAGAATGGGGTTTGGTGGGGTCTGGGTCTGGGAATTCTTACCAAGTAGCACACAAAAACACTCAAGCAAAGAAATTCAGGCTCTCAGAAAACCCTAGTCATATGGAATAGGCAGACAGATACAGAGTCACGCAGATCCGGCCACAAAAACAATGACATAGAATTGAGACACATAGAATAACAGGGACACAAAAAACCACACAGACACACACATTTACAAACACGCACAGGCAGATACCTGCTAGGAATAGAAAGATGACAAACAGGGACACAGGATAAAATAGCACACACTCAGAGGCACAGGGTACAACAGGCCTTCACACACACGTTCAGACTCACTCGGAAACACAGACACAGAGCACCTCAATCAGCAGACCCACAAAGGGACCCATACGCATTCGCACTTGTTCCTGGGTGTGTCCGGCAGCGGACGGAAGAACGCTCGGCAGCGCCCGGACGCCCCCTGGTGGCGGCTCCTGAGAACCCTGCACAGTTCAATCCGGGCCACAAACTTTTTTAGAACAGATCTTTGTACGGTGCTGGGAGGAGAGAGTCAATCGGACGTGGGCGAGGGGCGGGGTGTCTGGACTGGAACCTCCGGGCCCACGTGAGTGTCTGTCCCGCTGCTGAGTGGATGCTGTGTGTTTAGGTTACTGTCCTGGAAGCTTGTAGTGTAACAAGCTTGCGTGTCTTTGTCATTCGATGAGTCCTGCCTGTGCGGGCGTTAGCGGGCACATCTCTCTGAAGCTTGGTGTGTTATCCCAATTTCTGCATCTGATCTGATTCACGCCTGTTGTATTTCTGCGCTGTGCTCCTTTGTCTAAGTAGAGGTTGTGTTCGGCTTTTTGTGAACTTAATGTATGGCTCAGTAGGCAAGAGGTCTCAGCATTGTGATTTTTTTTTTTTTTTT